AGTATCATGGTCTCTCACACACCTATACCACCAGAGGGCTAAATCCTTGCACAATCTAGACCCCTTCCAAGTTGTCGAGATGAGTTTCATGGCCCTCGGTATGTTCTATCTTTGAAAATGATTATGTGGACTTGAAAAGAATGTGTATTCAAATGTTGTTGAACAGAGTGTTTCATAGATGTCAGTTCAGGGTAACAGAGGCTGCTGTTCAGGTCTTCTGTATCCTTGCGAATTTTCTGTCCAGTCCTTCTATCAGTGGATGAGACAGAGTATTAAAACCCCCAGATATTAACGTTACATGGTCTAATTCTTCCATCAACTTTGTCAAGTTCTGTCGTAGGTATTTTGAGGCTCCGTACCTATGTGCGTAGAAGTTTGAAATCGTTATGTCTCCCACATCAGTGGATCCTTCTGTCGTTACGAAATGTCCACTTTTGTCTCTAGGAACACTCTCTGTCTTAAAAGTCAACTTTGTCTCTTGTTATTATGGCCACAATGGCACACTATCATCCACTGTGCTCTCACTCTCAGCGGGTTTATGCCATTATTGGAAGGATATCCCCTGTCAAAAGCAGGTAGTTGAATCCATCCGTTTCTTCTACTGGATTGACACTCTCTACCTTGTGATTAAAGGGATTCATGCGTTCATAATATGGGTTGGTTTGCAGATGTTATTTTGCTACAAGTGTTATACATTTCTCATGTCTTTTTGTGCCTCCATTTCTCTGTGGCTACCGTCTTCTGTGTTGGATAGATGTGTTCTTTCTTTTTTTATTAATTTTTTTTAACGTTTATTTATTTTTGAGATAGAGAGAGACAGAGCATGAACAGGGGAGGGTCGGAGAGAGAGGGAGACACAGAATCCGAAACAGGCTCCAGGCTCTGAGCTGTCAGCACAGAGCCCGACATGGGGCTCGAACCCAGGAACCTTGAGATCATGACCCGAGCCGAAGTCGGATGCTCAACCGACTGAGCCACCCAGGCACCCCTAGATAGATGTGTTCTAATATACCATTTGATTCCTTTGTTCCAGGGCCCCACCCCCTGAGGTCTCAGGGCTTTCAGGGTGGCCCTTCCTTCCTTAGCAAGACCCAGCATGTGCCCTGTGCTGATAGATGCTGCAGAGCCTGCTCCCTGCCAAAGCCACAGGTGCCCGTCCCAGTGGAAGCCCTGATCTTTTCTCCATAAAGAAACTATACACCAAGGGAGTTGCAAGAAATAGACAGTCTGTACTGGCAGGAGCAGGGGGATATCCCTAGGATTGGATTTTGAGGGTGCTGGATCAAGAGGACAGGAATAGAAGACTGGATAATCAGGTTTTGCTGAGTAGGGACACTTTCTCATACCACGGGGTTTAACCCACTGGCAGGGACTCCAGGAGATGGAGTAGATAGATTCACCACCAGAGTGGCCCTCAAAAGCTCCAAGAAGGTGGTGGCCCGCACTGAGAAGTGGAAGTGCCTGCCTTGGACTAGCAGAGGGTAGAGGAAGGAATAACAAGGCTGAATGATGCAGGCGAGCTGGAACGGATAGAAAAGGTGAGGCCAGTCACATGGCCTAACCATTAAGTTCCATGAGAGGGCCCAGTGGACCCACCATTCACCAAAGTTCAGCGGTTGCTGCCCTCTGCAGGCCGATGCAGGTGATGGCAGCAAGTGGTCCTGGCCCGAGCTCATTACCATCCATGAGAGTGATGGAATTCTGATGTAATAGAGAGCAGAGAGTAACTCTCAATCAAGAGACCTCAGGAGACTACCTTTCCTGTAACAACCGGCAAGGTCAGGGTGGCAGTCAAGAGTGCTTTGACTGGCAGGGAGCTGAGAGGATGGTTCAGACAGCCTGGCTCCCTCGGGGCAGCTACAGCCAGACAAAGGCAAGGGTGCAAGAGAAAGGAGGTGGTCGTCCCAGTAAAAAGTTACAATTTCTTGCTCAGTTCCTGGTCCTGAGCCAATTTTGAGACCAGCCCCACTGACTCAAGAGGTGGAGGAGTCCTGAGGAGGAAGGGTCAAGAAACAAGGTGATGAGTATATACATACTATGATGATGCCACCGGACTTCCCTACAGAGAATGACTGCCATTTCTCAAGTGACAGTGCACTGGGGAAAGAGAAATACCCAGACATTTCTAGGACTATTGGACCCAGGGTCCGAGGTGACATTGATACTGGAGCCCCAAAGTGTCACCATGAGGCCTGGCTAGAGTGGGACTTAGGAGACCCTGGTAATAAAAGGAGTTGGGATAGAGATCCAGTCATGGAAAGCCGACTGGATCCCTGGGCCAACGCAGTGGTCACTTCTCTAGTCCACAAGTTGACAATTGATACATTCGGCAGTTGGAGCAAAAACCCCCACATTGGGGCATTGGTCTGTCTGTGGGGCAAGAAACTATCATGGTCAGGAAGGCCAGGTGGATCCTCTGACACTGGTCCCCAGCCCAGGCCAGAACAGTAAGTCAAAACCAATATGGGATCCTAGTGAGGTTGAAGGAAGGGAGTTAGCAGCAATTATGGACACCACTGGAGACCTTTAGGATGCAACAGAAGAGGAGGTAGGAGAACCCCAGTGATGAAGAGAGTGGTGAAGGTGTGGAAAGGCACTAGGATTCTGTCTATGGGGGAGAGGGAGAAGGATGAAGGGAACGGAAATGGCAAGAGGGCCAATGGAGTCTTCGACTGAATCCATTGGTAACATTTCCGAAGAGGGTGGTGGGTAGAGGAGATTCTGCTGTCTCCTTCGTGATCCATTTTGCACAGCATGACTTTAAGAGCCACTGGGAGAAGTGGGAGAGGGCGTTTTCCACACACACACGTAGGGATATTGGGGGCATGCTTGAGGAGGCTGACTGCAGATTTAGAGTACGCCCAATCCCCCCTGCTCTGTAACCTTTCCCAGCATGGTAGGCTTCTCAGCTGCAGACCCAGCAAAACCTGGCCTTTGCGATTACGCAGGCAAGAGGTGTTGAGGTACCTCAGGCCCCTCTTGAGGATCAGCCAGAGTAGGATGTAGGCAGGAGAGGCGAGGGCCAGACAGAGCATTAAGAGTGGGAAAGAGAGGAAGGAAAGTATGGAAGGAATCCAGGGCTCCCGGAGTAGGGGTTGGGTGGCAAGCAAGGGAAATTCTAACACTGGAGCACCTCACAGAAATCAAGGGAGGGACCACTCCCCAGATATTGGGACTGCTCAGCTCAGAGAAGCTGGGAACGGGTAGCTGTAGAGCAATTGGATAGACAACTGGCGCCCCACCCCAACCACCACCACCACTGTTAGGTGTTAGTTGTGCATGCTCCAGAACTTTCACCATACTTGTACCGACACCTATGTGCACTCTCAACATAGGACTGGTTCCGTTTTAAATTTTCATTTGACTACTTACAAATGTGTGTCCAGCTCCAGTGATCTCCAAATTACTGTGTTCAGTCACGAGGATGGTTTGAAATGTGTGAACACGGCCTCACGTGTTCCTTTTGACTAGCGTGGTTCAGTCTACCAGATGCGCTGAACATCAGTTGCTTGCATCCACTTCCCCCTTACTGATGGGAATTCAGAGTGTTCCCAGTTTTCCCCATCACCAACATTCCTGTGCACGTATCCTTCCTTGTCCATTACACGAACGAGAGCATCCCCAGAAGATGTAAGTGGCAGTGGACTTGCTGGGTCACAGGGGGAACGGGCGTCTCTTCTCTTTTAAGATTCTCCACTCAGAGCTCAGAGCAAGGACTCCGGGGCCAAACTACAAGTTTCGATCCTGCCGCGGATCCCGACAAAACAAATGACCTTGCGCCAGTGGCTGAGCCTTTCAGTGCCCGTTTGCTCACCCATAATAGGGCGGTACTAGTGGGTACCTCAACCCTAGGATTGTCTCGACAATGTGTCACTAGTTAACTACAGTGCTTACAACAGAGCCAGGCATGTGGTACCTGTTGTATAAGTTGGTTGGCACTGATTCTGCCAATTTACCCTCCCAAAGGGCTCTTCTGCGCCGCTGCCCCCTCCTCCACCCGAGCCCCCACCCAGCAGTGGGCAAAAGCAAGGGCTCTACTCAGAACCTCTCCCAACCTCGGAATGGTTCAGCTCTTTGACTCTTTCAAGTCTGGTCTGTGAACACTGATTCGCGGTTTTAGTTCGCATCTCCAGGATTTGTGATGGTGAGCGTCTTTTGGCGTATGCACTGGCCATTGAGATTTCTTCTTTGCATTGCCTCGGAGTGGAGAAGGGTCGGGGTCGGGGGGCCAAGTCCAGCCTTTGCGCCAAACCCGCCTGCCAAGAAAGTTCCCTGCGCACACATCCAGGGACCAATGTCATCGCCCACCGAGGTCAAGCGGATGCAACAGAGACGCTGCGGCCCGTAAATAAGACCACATTTGCTCTCCGGCCCTTCGCGGGGGAATATGCCACAGGTCCCATGATCACTGACTGCGGGCTTCCCGTGCCCATTGTCCTATCAGGTTCTGAGAACAGCCGTGGGACAGAGGCCGGCAAATCCTTTCTCGGCAGGTGCTTTACCTCCGTCCCGACGGGTCATCCCCAACCCCGGAGACAGGTGCCATCACAACCCACTCTGTGCACGGGCGGACAGAGGCTAGAAGCCGTGACTCCCAACTGGAAAGTAGGAGGCGGGCCCAGAAGAGCCCGGACAACAGGGCCTACCAACCGGCCGCCACACCCGAGAGACCCAACACCCCGACCTGCTTGGGGGGGGGGGGGGGAGGGCGGAGACCAAAGGCGCTCCACCCCATTGGCCAGGGCCTCGAGGGGCGGGCAAACGAGGGGCGCGCGCTGGTTGGCGGGGGACAGACCAATGAGGAGGCCGTGGCGCGGGCGTCGAATGCGTGTGCAAGCCGCGCGGCGTTTGAGGACTCGTGCGGCCTGGTGCGGCGTCTGTGGTAATTGACTGCGTCGCCCGGAGGACTCGTCGCTCGCCTCGTGCCTCTGCCATCTTGCCTGTGGCGCCGGGGCCAGGGCGACCGTCTTCCCTGAACCAGGGCTGCCGGGCCTCGCGGCATGAGCGCCCCCGATGAGGTGTCCAGCTGTGGAGCGGGTTTCGGGGAGGAGGGCGGGGAGCAGACCGGCGTCGGCCCTGCCAGCCCCGGAGCCCCGCGGGGCCCACAGGGACTAGGTGTGGATCTGGGGCCGCCACCCAGCGGTGAGGACGAGGGCGGGGTCCCAGACCCCGAGGGCTTCGAGTCCGAGCAGGAAGTGACGGAAACGGGAGGGCCCGTGTTCTGGGACCTAGAAGGCCGCCCCGGCTCCCCGACCGACCACACGGGGGACGCCCTGGACTGCGCGTCCCACCTTGCGGACGAGGCCGTGGCAGCCATCGTGCAGCAGCTGACCAACCAGGATGGCCTGGGCGTGCGGAGAAACCCGTACCCGGAGGGCTGCGTCGTGGAGGCGGGCCTGGAGGCAGGGCCCCAAGGGAGAGGCGCGCTTGCCCTTAGCCGCAGAGAGTCGCAGCCGCCTGCCGCCGCCCTTCTCCGCCTCGGTGGGCCCGAGGGAGGCCCGGCCTGGGCGAACCCAAAAAGAAGCACGAAGAGCAGGTCGAACGTCGCCGTGGTGGATCGCCAGCGGCCCTCCGCCGAAAGCCCGCCGAAAGCGAGCTGCTTTCTGACAGCGAGTCAGCAGATGAGTTTAGTGAGATACAGCTGATGAGGGTGAGCATTTACGCCAAAGGAGGAGGCCAACTCAAGCCCAACAGCCCCGAGGATCCCTGGGACACACCCAGACACTCGAAATTCCATGTCAGGGAGAATTTCCTCCACATGCTTGGCTCTTTCCCGTCCTCCGCTCCCCGAGGACTCACTTCGGTTGTGGAGAGTCAGGCCGTTGGAGAGCTGGACATCTCCTCCTCTAGGAAAATGCAGAGCGTGGTCAGGGGGAAGGGAGGGAACAGGCCCAGCTACCCAAGATCTCCTGCTGCTGGCGGTCTGCCCCGGACCACCCCTAAGAAAAAGGTGGCCCAGGAGAAGAAATCCCCAGGGGGGACCTCAAATGTTGCCCTGGGTAGAATGTTCCCTTCCTGGGGGCAGAGAGTCTCCGCGGCACCCCTGGAACCAGCCGCCTTCCCCCCAGTAACTGGTGTTCCGCTGCTTGGGAGGTCCAAGAGGTATTCCTTGGTCCCTCCGGGAACCAAACAGTCCAAGCACACCCCTGCCGGGAAGAAATCTGTCGCCAGGAGGACTCAGAAGGCGGAGCCGGTGGTGGCCGGAGAAGACAATGACTCAAACAGAGACACTGTCCCAAAGGTGAGTAAGCTGTGCTCCTCCTCTGGCCCTTGCCCTTCCCCTCCTTGACCAGCACTTCTTGACCCACGCTCCCTCTGGCCATCCCTCAGGGGCTGCCATTGGGCGCCCCCCCCCCCAGGTCACCGGGATGCTGGACCCGGTCATTTGCACAACGGCAGACATGAAGGTAGCGCTCCATGTGTGCTGGGCACCATTCTGGACCTGGGCACGTTTCCTGCCTCCCCCCAGCCCAGAGAGGGTCTGGGATGGAAGGGAGGGCTGGTAGTTGATTTGGATCGGGGAGCCCCCGCCCCTTGAAAGTTTGGACTGCAAAGCTTCAGTCTTGAGACTCCTGGACTTCCTGATTCCTACTTTGTAGCTGGTGCCCAAGCCTTCCATGCAGGGAGCCTGGGCCCTGTCAGTGGCCCCCTCTTCTCCCGAGCTCAGCGCTGCCTCCTGACCTGGGGCTGACTGAGGGAGAAAGCACTAACTAGCCAGATCAGCTTCTGAATTCCCTTCCCTACGCCCTGCCTCATCCCAGCCCCTAAACATGCGTGCACACGCACACACACACCCGTGTACACCTACTACACCCCCACAAAACACAAAACATCCCAAGTCCAAATGAGTGAGAAATTTTTCTTTTAGCAGCTTTCAGCACACAGGCCAGAGCCGTCTTGTCCGTTCATGCATCGTGAGGCAAGCAGTCGTGGTGACCTCAACCCCAGAGCCCCCCAGTTTCAGGGAAGCTCACAGCCCTTGGCTCCGAGCCAGGGAGACGTCATGCCCAGAGAGCCCGCACCCTCAGGTGAGTGTTGCAGGTTGCACAGGAGTGCAGGGGAGACGGGATCAGGAGGGCCGCCTCTGCCTCTGCCTCTGCCTGTGGCTCTGCGGAGGGTGGAGGCTCAGCTTTGTTCCCTGCCTCCTCTCTGACCCAGGCAGCTTCTCCCATGGGAAACAGGGTGTCGACAGGACCGGCCTTAAGCCACATCATCCTCTGCGTGGGGTTTGTGTGGCAGGGGTGGTTCGTGGACACCCCCAAACCCCAACCCCGGACATAGACTTTCAGCAGAACAGAGCCTTGTTCCACGAAGTCGTATTTGGCCGTGCTGCTCTTCCCAGTGGCTGGCTGTGGCTGCAGCTCTGGGAGAGTCCAGCTCAGAGCCACCGGCCTTGGGGACCACCATCAAGGATGGGCTGGCCCTGGGAGACAGGATACGCACGCCCAGGAAGAAGAGTGGAGCTGCTGGCAGAGCAGGGGCAACTTGTTGCCAGCAGAGGGTGGTGTTGCCTCACGTTAGACCCCACAAAGCCCTTTCCACCTCACTGGGAGCCTTGGAAGCTGGATTTTGTGTTCTTTCCCTCTCAGATGACCAGGAAGCGCTTGTCCACCCCCCAAGACCGGAAAGGCAGCAGCAACCACCTGGAGCACAGGGCTGTCCTCAGGTAATGCTTGCTCTGGCTCCTAGAAACGCAGGCCCCAACTACCTGGTGGGATCCGTGTCCAGGTTAAACTGACATATGTACCCCCCTCCCATTCTGCTCCCCACAGAGGGAAGGCGCCTCCTTTCCACTGAGGGTCCTGTGCCAGTCTAGCCACTGGGCCTTGGTGTGTGGTGCTCACAGGAGAGGGGGAGGATGAGGAGAGAGGCCAGGGTATACTAATATGCTTTTCTCTCTCTCCCATGTTTGTGGGCCTAGTGTCTCCTGCTGCAGAGAGAAGTTGACAACCTGAAAGAGCAGCTTGGTATGAGGAACCTCTAGCTGGGGCTGGGTCAGGGCAGAGGCAGAGGGGGGCTTGGGGGGTGTGTCCCAGTGCAGGACCCGCAATGGGCTGCAGGTGCAGGCAGCCCCACAGGGACCAAGATTCCCATTGGAAGGGGAACTTAGCAGGCTTGACCCTGGAGCCTGCTTTGCGTGTACAGCTAGGTGTGTGCACCAATGGGAAAGTCGCCTACCTGGGTGCACAGTTTGCCAACCACCATGAGTCCCAGAGAATCTCTCTCTTTGGACGTTTAGAGATGCCTCATTGATTTTCCCTTTAACTGCTCTTTGGTGTGGCTTGGACAGTGTGTATTTGTCCAACAAGCTCTGAATGGTTCCGAGTTGACCCAGAACTTGAGAACTACTGGCACGTTTTGTTCCCCTATACGACACATCCATATTTAATTCAGCTGGTGGGTGTGTGGGTCAGTCACAGGGCTCTTTGGATAGGGGCTGGGAGGGGGGGGCGTGGGTTTCAGGTTGCAGGACTAGGCAGTTCTCCAAGGGGACAGGAGCACAGGGTTCTCTGTCCCCGGGTCCGGAGCACCTGCTAATGCCTGTCTCTGTTTCAGCGGCCCTGCAGTCCCTGACTGACCAGTTCCAGACCCCTTGAAGTGAGTGTTACACACACCATACCCCTTCCCACGGTCGTGGCTGCTGAGGAGGGCCGTGGGCTGGCCCTGGCCTGATGCTCTTCTTCCCTGACTCTGCTCTGTTGGACAGGCTGAGTCAGCATCTCTGTACAAGAGGGGCGGCTGGTACCTTTGGAGCCAGGAAGCTGTGCCCAAGCTGCTTCCCTCCCGTTCAACGTTCGACCTCGGCCTGGGCTTCCTCTCCCTGTTTTTTGCCACCTCCCCACCCAAGTTCACAGCACCTTCAAAGTAAAGTACCTCTCATGTTCTCAAGTCTGTCCTCTCTGAGGGGGTGAGGAGGTGGCTGGGGATGAGCAGGAGGGTCAGGGCAGGGAGCTGCTCTATTTTGCAGGCTTTTCCAGAACAGGTGTCGTGTGGTGGGCCTTGTCCTTGAGAGAAGTCTGGGCCACCTCCGCTGGGAACCCTGTAGTCACGCCGGCAGAGCGTCCCCGTCTGGGTGGGGTGTGGGCTCCACCTGGCCGCGCGAGCACCTGCCCCCCTTTCCCCTGCAGGCTCCCTTCAGGCTCTCTCCTAATCTCCTCCTCTTTTTGGGTCTCTAGGTTCCCATTCATCTCCGTCCTTCCCCCTCCCCCTCCTGTAGGGACTCATGACCCCTTCCAGAAGTCCAGTCCCTGTTCCCTTCCCTCCTTGGGACCACTGCCTGCTCTGACTTCTGAGGTTCCCAGGTCACTCCCGTGGCTTTCTGTCATCAGTGGCCTCGCCTGCACCTGTGCTTCCACAGATGTTATAGGGCACAATTGAGCTGCTCCTCCCCCCTCCTGGGCCCAGCCCCCTCTAGGCGTCCTTACCTCCCTCTGGTGCTGCCACCTCACAGGCACAAGGGCAGCTGGCCCAGGAACTGGCGCCTCCTCCTCCTCTCCCATTTAGTGCTCGGCCTTGGCCCTCAGTTTCCAATCCTGTCAGTGCTCCCTCCCTGGGTTCAGAAGCGGGGTAGAGGCAGAAGTCACAGCCCAGTGGGGTGCAGAGCCAGAGAGCAGGTACAGGGCCCAGGGGAGAAAAGCACAGCTTGGTGTCTGGGCTGGAGGGGGGGCGATGGGGCCTGCAGTGGCTCTGGGCCAACCTGGGGCAAACTGCCTGCCAGCACAGCCGTGGGAGCTCTCGTGTCCTTCACGTCCAAGCCTCCTCACTGCCCCTCCTCCAGCCTGGTGATCGCACTGCCCTTGGCTGGAACGTGGCCAGCTTCCATGGCAAGTGTGCGTGATGGGTCTCCATGTGTCTGCACGGGCCCCTTTCCAGTGCCATTTGACCTGCACCGTGAAATGCTAGTTCTGTGTCCCAGGTCAGGCTCCCTGGCTGCCTCTTGAGGTCATGCGAGATTTAGTCTGAACTCCATGTTCATTTGCCGCTCACTGGGGGTTGGGCATTGCTTCCTTCCCTCAGCCAGGAGCCAGGTCTCAGTGAGGTACGGGCAGCTTCTGCCACACCAGACCCTCTTCCCAAGAGACTGGGCGTTTTATGCACAGAAATTCGGGGCGGAGGGGTAGGTCGGTGCCAACAGAACAGTCAAGACTGGGGTTGTGTGTGTGTGTGTGTGTGTGTGTGTCCATCTGTGTGCATGTGTGAATAACATTAATCGGGGATAATCAGCTTTGAGGCAGAGATCTGGGGTTCAAGGAGTAAAAGGAGTGGAGACCATGGTCAAGAACGTGTAAGGGACGGGGCACCTCAGTGGCTCAGTCGGTTAAGCATCCGACTGGATTTCAGCTCAGGTCATGATCTCAAGGTTGGTGAGTTGGAGCCACATGTCCGGCTCAGTGCTGACAATGCAGAGCCTGCTTGGGATTCTTTCTCTCCCCCTCTCTCTTCCCCTCCCTGGCTCAAGCTAGCACTCTCTCTCTCAAGATGAATAAATAAATATTAAAACAACAACAACAACAACCACCTGCAAGGGATTGCATGAGCACAAGCAAGGGTCGCATCTACTTTTCAGGGGGTGCTGTTAAATTCCTAAAACAGGAGGGGAATGACACAGAAGTCCCCAGACCCCAGGACCGGGTTTGGAGACGCTCAAAATGTTGGGAGTTGCCAGAGGAGGCTGCAGATCCTACTGTGCGATGCTGTGAGGTCTGACCCCTCCGGGCTGTTCTGAAGGAACGAGAATAGGAGAGAAGGCTATCTCGGAGTTGCTGGGATGTACCTCATCTTAGCAGTAGAGAGGAGGATCGCCAAGGAGGCTGCTGTGCCCGGTGCTAAGAGAGACACGGGCAGGATGTGTCGGTGAGGATGGCAAGTAGAGAGTGGCTTCTCGGTTCCCCCCGCCCATTCTCACACTGCCTTCCGGAAGGGCCTGTGGCGTGAGCTCAGGTGGACATGCCATCACACGTGGGGTGGGACAAGCACAGACCTCAGCCTGGAAAAGAACATTCGTGGGACTAAATTCTTCCCTTTCAAGCCCCTCACTTGAGAAGGTGGACTTGGTTGCTCAGGCTCTGGCCTTGACCCTGACCCAACGGTTACTTCTTGGCGGGGTAACACAGCACACCGGCTGAGCAAAAGCTTTTGGCAGAGACCTTCCAGCTGGGATGTCCGCCCACGGAGACACGGGCAGGTTGTGAGTGGGGAGGAGTCCAGCACCAGCTCTGCCCCACTGGAGGAAGGAGGGCCAGTGAGCCCAGAGCCCTGGGCTGAAGAAGGCCAGCGTGAAGAAGGGGAGAAGGGGACGTGGGAGGACAGGGTCACAATCCTCCCTGACTAGGTTTGCCAGCCTCCTTTCCCTTCTCTGAGCACACGGCCTGTGTCCCATACTCAGACCAAGTGCCACACAGCAATGTTGCTGTAACCCATGTACATCACAGGCTGTGGCCTGGCCCCTTCAGGTTCCAGGTGGAAGGAAGTGGCAGATGGTGAGGCATAGGTTAAGGGAATACATGTCGGCCCCAGGAGAAAGGAGAAGGTGGGACCCCTGCCCTAATTTAGTGTGCCCCTTTTGCCTTCCCCCTCAAGCCTCCTCTCCAGCCAGGGAGGCAGTGGTGGTTGGCCTGGAGAGCCTTGGACCCCATGCTGCCTCCTCCTGCTACCTGCCCAACACCTGGGCGGATGCCTCCCTCTCCACCTCCTCCAGCACCAGCACCAGTGCCACCACAACCAGCAGGCAACCTTTCTCTGAACAATGGGTAGGAGGAGATGAATGCTGGAGACAGAGCCTGGTGTGGTGGCCAGAGTAATGGTCCTCAAGTTAGATAGGAATTAGAGGTCCATGTCCTAACTCCTGGAATTGGCTAATATGTTACCTTGACAAGGCAATGGGAATTAAGGTTTTAGGTGTAATTATGGTTGCTACTCAAGTGACCTTGAGATGGGGAGACCTTCGCCTGTGTTTGCTAGTTTGCTAGGTTTGGCCAGCCAGCACCTTGGGGTTGCCAGGGTGGCCACATGAGCTGTTCTTGCATGATCCCAGCACACACCATTCGTGTGACTACAGAGTTTTCGGTGCCCCCGTGCTCCCTCAAGGTTGTAGTCCTGGTAACTACCACTCAGGTTTGGAGAACACTGATAGGAATTTGGCCCCATGCCAGCCACTTCTCCTCCTTAGTTCTCTCAAGGTGACCTCTGTCTGACTTTTCCAATCTTTCTTTGAAAGGATAACAATTGCTATTTAATAAGTAACCAATACAAAGATAGAATGGATAAATTACATGAGAGCAAGTATTAACCATATATGTATAAACCCCGTATACACACAATTGTAGATAGTCTACAATTTGACAAGCCATGTGACTACTACCCAGATGAGGAAACGGTACATTGACCCTGAGAAATGCCACATGTGTACATCCCTTTCTGTGAAGGATGCAAAATGCAATGGTCTACATACCGTATGATTCCATTTCTATGACATTCTTGTGAAGTCCAAACCATAGGGACAGAGAAGAGATCGGTGGCTGCCAGTGTGTGGGTGTGAGAGAAGGGATTTATCTATCAGTGCATGACAGAATTTGGGGATGAACATTTTTTGTAGTTTGCTTGTGGTGGTGGTTCCATAACAGTATGTGTTTATAAGGACTCCTAGACCTTGATGTAAATGGTACCTCGATAATCTTGAATTAAAAAAAAATGTGGGGGCACCTGGGTGTCTCAGTTGGTTAAGCATCCGACTTCTTCTCAGGTCATGCTCTCACGGTTTGTGAGTTTGAGCCCCGCATCGGGCTCTGTGCTGACAGCTCGGAGCCTGGAGCCTGCTTCAGATTCTTCGTCTCCCTCTCTTTCTGCCCCTCCCCTGTTTGCGCTCTGTCTCTCCCTCAAAAATAAACATTAAAAAAATTTTTAATGTGAAAATTATATTACAAATAGATATTATTTCTTACTATTTATTTTTCTGAATACGAGGACCATAATCATCTCCTGTCATGGGTGAATCTGGAATATTATAGTACCTTATTTTCTGAAATTAAATCAAGTTTGTATTTTTGCAATGGATGCAATTTAGTCATAGTACATTATGTATTTTCTGTCTTCTACCCTGTAAGATTCGGTTTGATAATATTCTGTTTCTGATCCTTGCCTCTTTGTCATGAGTGTGTGATTTGCCCATGATTTTGCTTTTTCAACTTCCCCTTGTCAGGATTTAGTATCAAGGTTATTGTATCCTCACAAAATGTGTTGGGGAGTGTTCCTCTGTTTCTAGTTTTTCTGTGAATTTGTCACATTGAAAATATTTTTGCTTAAGATGTTTGTCAGAAGTCAGGGGAGGAGCCTGGATTTTTTTTTTTTGTTTTTGACTATTGATATATATCTTTCTGGTTATGGAACCATTCTGGTTGGCTATTCCTTCATGAGTCAGTTTTGGCAATTTATTTTTTTCTAGAAATTGGTCACCTTTTTCTAAGTTTTCAAGTTGATTGGCACAAAATGGTATATCTTTTCCTTCAACTTTTATATTTGAAAATATCTGTCCTACAGAGAGTTGCACAAAAATTGCAAGGAACACTCATACATCCTTCACCTGGATTCACCCATTATTATTTGTCACATTTGTCATCTTCTGTCCCTCCTTTTGTGTGTGTGTGTGTGTGTGTGTGTGTGTTTAATGTTTTATTGAGTAATTTGAGATACCTAGAGAAATTATAGCATACCATCCCTAAGGACATCAGCATATATGTCTTAAGAAAAATAATTGTTGGGCGCCTGGGTGGCTCAGTCAATTGAGCATCCAACTTCGGCCCAGGTCATGATCTCACAGTTCGTGAGTTTGAGCCCCATGTTGGGCTCTGTGCTGACAGCTCAGAGCCTGGAGCCTGCTTC